ATATACCAACCAATATCAAGGCAATGACAATAAAACTCTGTTTCTCCTCGAAACATGTTCATGATTAATTCCAAGTTCATCTTTGCCATTTTCAGTCAGATCACCTCTATGACGCTCAGTTCATTTGGGATTAATTACTACATTGTGACTTCTGGAATCTTGCCAGTTGCTCCTGAGTAACAACTAGCTTTCAACAGGACTTACTAAAAGCATTACTGTTGCTCTATGTCCTATTTAATGACCTTCACATTCTAATTCTCAAAAAACAAAAAACGTTTCCAGTTTTCTGAAAAGTCAGTTTTCCCTAGTTTATCAAACACTATTCTATACAGAAGTAGAAAAAGTATTTTACAGATGGTCAGGCAGCTAGATCAAGACTTGTTTGGGTCTGCAACATTTCTGTTGTCTGAAAAATTACCAAAGGTAGAACATTAACACAATTTACTTCTCATAAATTTATGCTGCACTTCACTTAACATGCCGTTTGCCTTCATGTCTGTACTTATCCTTTCCTCTCTACATCACCTACAAAATCTTGCATAGTATTGACTAGTAAGTTTTGCCTTATTACATTTCTCCAGCATACAATGTTATCCTAAAGCAGACGATTCATTAAAAATACTTGTTTAGGGACTTGCAATTGAAAGTTTCAGTCTCTTCAGTAAACTGAGAAGTAGATGATTTGGCATTAAATTATCCAACCTTGCTTCCATCCGGAATACGTATATGTTTTTGTTATATATGTTTTATTCTCTTTGCTCTATGTTTAATATGATCCTTGTCATGGAAAATTGAAAGAAACAAGTGTTTCTTGGCTAGTGACTGAGCTTTGATGCTACCCTATTTTCACTGCATGATAGTCCCAATACTCTCACTAAAGAATCATGTCCCATATATAAAACAACTTAAAAAAAGAGACAATATGAAATTTACTACTTCAACTAAGCAGCAGAAAATACACTATCCATGGGACCTAAGATGTAATTATTAATTTTGCAAACAAATAAATGTGCAGTGGCATATTCAGCACTTCTGAATAATTTTATAAGAGAGGAAGTAAAAATATACAAGGCACTGGCAGAAATAGTGCCTGTTGTTACTGTAGAGAAAAATAAAGAGTGTGGCAATAATTTAGAATGTATAATGTTTTAAAATTTTCTTATGCTGTTTTATTAAAAACTCATCAGCAAGAAGGACAAGCAGAAAAGCAAATAAGGAAATTGGATAATGATTAAATGATCTTAACAGCTAGTGGTGAATTGCCTGATTTAATTAATTTCTTGCCTAAAGTACTATTATTTTTTCTTTGATCTTTATAATTGTATTAAAGAGTGTTCCTTGGTTAGACCAGATTCCACATAGTCTTTTATTTCTAACTCTTTCAATTGTTGCATTATATAATTTGTAAGCTGTTTTCCTTTGATACTTTCTCAACTCTTTTTTTAAAAAAAAAAACAAAAAAAACCCCCCCAAAAACCCCAAACAAACCCCAACCAAAGGTCTCAGCTACATTTAAAAGTTATTTGAAAACTAAAACAAACAGTCATCTTCTGTTAATATTTTGAATGTATTTGCTAATATAACTGGTTTCAGAAAAAAAAAAAGGGTATGAACATAGATGCCTCCTAGGTATCTGATATTTCTTTCTTAATACAGATAATGCTTTATATAAAATGAGTATATTAATTGTAGGTAATAATTTTGAAAACACACAGCCAAAATATCCTAGCCATGTCAGTCCCAAAATGCTTAACTCCACACATCCAGCAATTCAATGGGATTGACATTGTCATCATACTTACCCCTCTGCTATAGCTATACAACCCCAGAGAAATGCCTCCAGGATTAGAAATGCTGTTATCTGTGCTGACTCCAGTCGAATGGAGGGACAGCACAACTATTTCCAAGTCGACATCTTCTTACACCTGTTTAAAAGCTTACTCCTCTCACAGTTTCAAAACAGATAATTCTTTGAAAATGGACTTCCCGATGGAAAGATTCAAACTTCAATTGAAATTGAAGGTTTTGTTTTTAAAGGGGAAAAAAAAAATCAAATAAAAGTGTCTCTTAGTTTCATTTTTGCCTATGTATGAATGAAAAACAAACAGAAGCTTTTTAAAAAGAGTAAACAGCTAGTTGGTAATGGCTACATTAATGTAGCCTCAATTGTACTATTTTAGCACAGGAGTACTGCCCTACGCATGAATGAATGCTTTCACTGTACAGCTCTGTAACTCAATGTTAAATATGTATTTACAGTATTTAAAGTATTACAGTTGGGAATTGAAAGAAGTTGTTAAGGAGGGTCATGCATTTGGATGACAAACTGGAAGTGCTCAAATTATCTAGCTGACCAGAAAAAAGTGAAAAGGTAATTTGGTTGCATCCTGAAAACACCTAAATGAGAAACCCACTCTCCAATCTAAGAGGTAAAAATATATCAAGATCACAGCACTGGAAGCTTGTGCCAGACAGATGTAGACTACAAATAAAATCATTTTTTTTTTACCCCAGCAATGAGAGTAATTAACTACCAGAACAATTTATTACAGGGTGTAGGAACATCAGTGAATGTTTTAAAACTCAAATAGTCTTATGAAATGAGCGAATATGAATTTATCTAGAAAATACATTGGCCTAGTTCAGTCAAAGCAGATTAAATGATGCCAGTAGTCAGTTATTGGATTGGAATGTATTAAAAGAGATCCATACTTTAATCAGGAAAGTATTTTCACTAGTGGCAATATAAAGTGACTCTATTTAATCATCTTCAGAACAGATACTTTCAAAACACACTGTGTTGAATGGGATTTATATCTGATAGACTACCAAAATGCTACAGAAACTTCAATCTTAAGATTGAAGTAACCTTTTGTAAGGTTACTCAACTGCCCCTCCCAGTCATTAATTTCAAATGGGTTACACCTCATTTCATGAGCTGGTCTTGCTGGTATTAAAATATTGATTACATGGAAATTTAATGAGCTGTTGCCTTTGAATTATTCTAGTCCACTAATGGAAATAATATTGATCATCACAACTTGCGATAACTTGGGCGAAGAAGGAACACAGCTAAGTGTAGTTTTCAGCAAGATGTACCAGAAGTGACTTAAAGGGCACACTTGAAGATCAAAGGGATACTGAAAACATTAGAACTTCCAATCCATGAGGGGAAGAGGGTTGGACCTCTGAAATGTGCAGACACTCAATATTACTGTCTGACTTTCCAAAGTCACAGTGAAGACAGAATAAGACTTTCCCAGGCATTTCAAAGGAAGAATAAATTTCCAAAAGAAACAGCTTCCCATTTATCTCTTTTCTTAGCTTGTTATAAACTTCAGAATGAATAATTAATAGTGGGGTTTTTTAGAAAAAGGTATTTTATGCCAGAACTCAGCTGTTGGTACTGTGCCCTTAGCTGGAAAGGGATTCCACATATCAAGCACCTTGGCCCTGTTGTAATAACACACATGGAAAGAATTGCTATCCAGCAAGCCAATTCTTGAGTAGTTGAATGAGGGGATTTCATCTATTGGAGAAAAGATTAAATCAGGTCTGTCACTTGAAGAGTATGTTTGATGGAAAAAGCCAGTCTAATGCATATTCCAGCTTGTAGCTATGACAACTCATAGAACCTCTCTAGTATAGATAAGAGCTGCGTGCTGCATTAACATTTAAAGTCTAAATGAATAAGTTATACTTTTCAAGAGAAAATATTTGCTCTCTAATCATAAGATTTTAATAGTCAGACTTTCATATTCCCATCTCACACAAATGACAGACAGAAAGAGATTTCTTAATTTTGCTGCTGCTGTGTTTGGAGGTGTGGTTCAACAAGACAAAGTTAAATCGCTAAATTATAAGCACTTCAGGAAGTTACTATCATTATTGTCACAATGCTACTCATGCCTAATAAGTAACAAATACAAGTGTTCCTTTCACCTGTAGTTCCAGTAATACTGCTTCCATTCTTCTGCAACACACAATTTTGACAATTATGACTTAAGATAGTACTGGGACAAAATTTGACAGCATTTTTTTCAGTAATTGTCGACATTGGAACTTACATCAGTTAGAAAGCCACAGCTTGTGTCATCACAAAATAGGAAAAAAAATATAATCATTCAGCCTTGGATGAGGCTCTGATAGGCTTTTAGACAGGCACTCTGACAGGCTTTTAGACTACAATTACAAAAAATATATTCTAAAAAATAAATAAATTATTAATTCTTCAGTAAAGTCACATGTATTTTAAGTCAAGATACAGTTCTATGAATGCTGCAGGAACATATTATTCCTCCATTTCTACATAAAATGAAATGTAGTTTTGTATACATAAGTACACGATGCAGCACACAGCTGTGAAAGAAATGCAATGCTAGGCACATTTAAACATATGCAAATCACATACTACAATACCTTAGGTGAAGCACACAGTTCTGCATACACGTGCTTCTGTGATTTTAAACAGATTAATAGTTTCACTAACTTTATAAAACTGTTCATCTGTTTAAAAATAAATCTGCATACAAGAATGCACAAAAGCAAAATCTGACAGATTTCTATCAACACTTTAATTCTCTTCACGTTTTCTCCCCCCAACAGATTCAGAATATATGGCTGTTACAGCACTTCTGCGTTTTTAATCTGAATCCCATATTAAACAGAATGCAAAACTCTATTTAAGAGAAAAAATTAAATTAGCTGGCATAACCATAATGAAAAGTCTAAAAACTTCAATGAAATATTCTGGGATCTCCTTATAAAAAGAGTATGATGTTGAATAGTAGCTGTGCAAAATGTAAATTTAGCTTAATCCTTCTGGGCTGGTTACTGACTCAACTTGTGCCTTTTCTTATTAAGCATAAGCAGTGCTAATGATATTTTAAAAGACATATATAATAATCTAGTTTGGCAAAGTTACCTTCTAAGAAGAACTCTTACCTTTTTAGCAGTGGCAATAGGCAAAGCCTGCAGAGCAGAATTTCCAAAATACTTACCACAGTTTGATGGTTGACCTGGATCACCTCATCACCAGCATGGATTTTCTTACACTGGTCAGCAGGAGACTAAGGACAAGAGACAATATTTAACTTTACATGGGGGGGTGTGGAAGTGGAAGGGAAGAGCAGGAATTAAAACAATGAATGTTGAAAGAGGCAAAAAACTGTCCCCAAGGAAGTATTGTTATCAAATAACAATAATTGGTTGTATTTATAAAAACTGTTTTTATAAGGAACTATGTTTTTGCTGGTTACAGATGGCAATTTGATGAAATAATGTAGAATCCCACTTCCATTGGTGATGAACAGCCTTTTTGACTGGTTGAACTATTCTAGCTTCTTTACCTCTCTGTAGGGAGTATGAGCAGTCTCAATATTGCTGGGAATACACTGAGTGCATTTACATCATATAGAAGTAAATCTGTTAAGTCTATAAATCATAAGCTTACTGCATGGTCAGGGACAGGGCTAGACCAACCATGCGTGTAACAGTAAAGCAGGTCTCATAGTCCTTTATACAGAAGTTTTACTGCTTAAGAGCACTAAAGATACTCTGCAAATACATTGCACTTCCAAGGCAGTACTAGATTAACCATTTGAACACAGAAAGTTGTAATTTACAAATGGATAATGTCAGTGACAGACTAGCTTTTCAGGAGATTTTATACGTGTGTGTGTGTATATATGTATCTCAAAGTGTCCAAGGCCAGGTTGGATGGGGCTTTGAGCAATCTAGTCCAGTGGAAGCTGCCCCTGCCCGGGGGGTTGGCACTAGATGATCTTTAAGGTCCTTTCCAACTCTAACCATTCTGATTCTTTGATATAGACACACACAGATATACAGACACACACACACTATTCCATATTAACCATTCACATAAATTTGGGATCACTGAGCTGAATATTCATGACTTCACTGCATACCAGTCAAGACCTCAAGGAAACATGCAAGAGCCATTCAGCTGGGTAGTCTTCACCAAGCACAAATCCCATCCATCATTTCATTCGCTTTTGTGGATACAGATTAAAAACAGGAGCAAGGACAAGAGGAAACAGTACAAAAACCCAAATAGCCACTGGGAAGAAAAAGACTGCAACAACTTCTGAATAAAATGCCAAAGAGACTCATCTATGAGGAGGTCAAATCACTCTCCAATAGCCAGCACCTGCTGAGTAATCAATAGATTCTGCAGTCTACACAGCTGCTGGAGAGTAGTAGGAGACATCATTAATTATTCAATCAGGAAGAAAAAACTAAGAAAAACCAAGCCAATAGGCAAATAGCCAATATTTGACACAGTGATTCCAAGAGTGTCATAGGTGCTATTCCAAGCATAGCTTTTACATTCAGGCTACTGCTTGCTTATCATTCCTAACTTTGCTCTGCCCAACCTCCCCAACACAAGCTATGTTCCAGCTCCTCACCTACTTGATCTCTGTTGTTCTTTTGTAAGGGCTTCTGTGTCTCCTGTAGTGGGAAGTGCAGCCCTTGAGCTAAACCACCTGGTCATTACAGCCAGATATCAACTCCTGTCACCTGAGTCCTTCTGCACTAAACTAAACAGGATTTTACCTACATACTTTGTAGGACGGTGTGAAGAACTACCTGGTTCCTGTGTCAATTTTTCCTTTTAGTGGAAACTTGCAGAATTTTGGCAGACTGCTCTTTTGCACAGCACTAAACATGTAACAGAAAGATTTTTCTAGAATTCAGTGAGAATACAAACTTGATCACTTTAAACACTGAATGAAAACTGAGCAGGAAACTGGAGTAAACAACACCATTCATAACGTTTAACTTCAGATGACATTAGTTGGAAAAGCAAAGGCCTGGTTCTTTCACTTTTTAGCTCCTTTCCTGACTTCGATGAGGTTGATCTAATTATTATCTTTTAAAATTAAACACTGGCTCTGAGGTCAATTATCCCTTCAAAAGCAATGAAAAATCAATTTGCTGAAATGCTAGAAATTAAAGGTCTTTGAAGCTGGTTTATTATCCGGACATGTGATTACACTTTTACCAAAAAAAAAAAAAAAAGGCAATTTCTTATGGTGGTGCCTTTAGTGGCTGGCAATATATTAACACCTCCTGTGAATTTCAGTTATAAATATATAACTATTTTCCCTAGAAACCGCATTATATTTCTAAAATTAATTAGAATTACAATAAGAAGTGGATTAATTACAGCATGCCTAATTCAATCTATGAACAAAATCTGTTGCAAAATAATCAAGATGGATCATTCAGAAGTTTCAGGACCCAAGATACACATGTAGTTATTTTTAGACTTCTAAATGCTGCCAATGGCATTTATATAAATAAGCAAACAAATTTTAAGTTTAATTTGCATTAGACTTGTCTTCACAAATTGTGACATAAAAATCATCAGGCTTTCCACGGGTTTGCACTGTCTAAAAACTGAGTGACAAAAACCGCATGATGCAGTACTACTCAATTTATATAAATTAAGTAGAACAAAATATCACACATGAAGCTTACCCTTATGGGCCAGCATAATACTGATGTATGCCAGCAAGTATTGATGTCTTTGGCTAGCCGCACAGTGCTAATTTTATGTTCCTTGGATGTCAGCATTACATAATTTCAATATTAGCTTTATAAAAATCTAAACTTGTAATTTATCCAGCTATACTCTGTTAAACAGATCCAAGACTGAATGAAAACAGTGTGACTAAAACTCTATATGAAAAACAGAAGAAATGGGTCTTATTATGAAGCCTGTCATAGTAATTAGATTGCAGCAGTTGAAGTCAATTTATTTTCTTCAAATTTATAATTATGAATTACAAGTTAAGTAACAAGAAGGATATTTAGAAGCTACTTTGTTATTCTTGTCACACTGTTTACTTTTTCTGTGATCAGTCATCCTGATTTATGTGCTGCAGCATTTCTGTGTGCTTTTGGTTTAGATTTGCCTAACACTTCTGGGACTACAATGAAAATGACAATTAATACATTTTTCTTGGTCTTTTCTGTATTTTTACTACAGATGATGCAAAATAGGAAAATACAATGGTGCTTAACTCCTCCTAATACAATTCTTTCAGGAATGGTTATTTTCAGAAAAGAACTTTTTATACATCCTCACACAACAGTCATTTAGATTATTAACTTATTTGGTTTTTTAACATTGCCAAATCATCCATCCCTTGCTGTTCATGTACCAAAATCTATTTGCTCCTTTCCACAATTTCTCCCTTCTTAGTGATGGTCCTGTCAGTAATTACTGCTAGCTTTGAAAATTTCCTAGTTTATCAAAGATTATTATCTAACCTGTCTGATATCAAATATAATATTTTAAGTTGTCTTTCTCCATTACTCATGTTTTTTACATCCACCCATATTGCTGATACTGTAACTATTTTAAATCTTATTATTTTACAATACATTTCACTGAATTGCTTAGACATACAGAAGCTACTCATTTCCTGAGTCAATCCTAGGACACGCATCATCTCCAAAAGTCTAATTTTTCTAACATTCTTTTAAAATTAATTTGGTAATGAGAAAAAAAAAATCACAAAAATGTTACTGTCCATTCTAAGAAGAAAACAAAGAACACTTAGCAAAAAAGTATTCATCATTGCATGAAATATTTACTCACTGCATAAAGTAGGCTGTCTGTAGATATAAAGGGCTGCTCAGATGACAGCTACACTTATCAGTAACTGGGTAATTTTGTGACTACTCTAGTCAATATAAACACCTGAGGCAGATGTTTTTCCCTGTTATATTATTTCTACTGTTCTGTGGACAGGAAAATACTTTCTTTTTTATATGAACCTAAACTGTCCTATGTTCTGAGAGATTTATCTGAAGTAGAGAACAAAAATTAAATACAACAGATTATTTTAGACTAAAGATGAGGCTCTATGTGAGAAAAATTCACTTAACATAAAGGAAAACATTTTTGTGCCAAAGAGAACATATACATGAACACTATTAGAAAGGCGTACTGGAAGAACCATTGGGGACAGAACGTCAAGATTTTCATTTTTTTTATATTGTTAGTTATTAGTTACTTCACAGATATTTTTCTACGTCTATTTTTAAGGGTTCCAAGTTTTTACAAAGCTAATATGATATATGTATAGAAAAGATAAAGAAAAAAGTATTAATAAAAAGTGGCTTGATTTAAAGCAAGTTTTCATATTACAAAATGCACTGCAGATATATAGAAAATACTTGTATGCACAATGAAAGTCATTTAGAATAAAGAAACTTACATTTTCAGTTGTTCCTGTGATTACATGTAGTCCATCATATGTTGACTTGATATACATTCCCTGCAAAAAGATCAAGAAAAGTAATTCATATTTGTCAGAAACAAATAAATGATGTTTGCATGATAATTAAAATAGCATGCTTATTCCAGTTTAAGGACATAACATTTGAACAGACTGGAAGGAACCATGGTCAATTAACACTTGCAAATCTAAGTTTAACAAATATATATCGAGAGCTATTATAAACAGCATAGTTTTCTCACTTGATGTTTTTTTAATTATTCCAAAGTTTTTGGACCAAATTCAACACTGAACATCAGCATAAAAGCTCATTCCTATTCAGTATTTGAAATATTTAACACGACCTCTTTTTATTACTAGTGATATAAAAAAAGTATCAAAACTGAAACCATGAACGGGAATAGTCTTTAAACTTAAATGCCCCATTTTCAGAAACAACTAAAAACTGTGAGTAGTTGGAAGAAAGAAATTTCGGGGGGTGGGGGTGGGGTGTGTGTCTTCCACCATTTCCTTCTATACAGTTGGCTTAATTTTATCAGTGTTTGCTCTTCTATTGTTTCTGTATTACTTTCAACTGTTACTGACAAACATCTGATTTTCTTTCTCTTTGCCAACTGAAAGCCATAAACAACAACAATGGATCATGAAAAACCCTGCAGGTTCTCACTGAGAATGGGACATTGAATCTCCATTAAAAATCTTAAATTGATATTTAAATCCATCTAGTATGTGTTACACTGGATTTACACAGTGAACTTCTAGACAGAATGTTACACAATGTTGCTGCATCCATAACAGAAGTCTGTTATTTTAACACACAGTAGACTTCAGTAACACATATCCAGCCAAACTTAACAAACAAACAGACAAACATATTTAAGGCCAAACCAGAACATAGTGCTAAACCTTTCACTAAATTTTATCACATATTTCTTCATAAAGTTTCTAGCCTCCTGCTAAGCTATGTGTACTTTTGGAAAAAAATCAAATTACAATTTTATCTCTTAACATATGCCATCTGAGAGACATAAAAACTGACTGATCACTAAAAATTACCCTACATTTTGCTATCTGCTCTTTCATCTTAGCTATTAAACTTTAGAACAAAATATAGAAAAACAATTTTAGTGAATGACTCATAGCCTTCAAATTATCCTAGATAAAGCTTTCATCCTTGTTTTCCCAAAAGAAAAATAATGAGTTTGTTTCTTGTTGACCATTACAGCAATACTGTATTTCCTTGACACATCTGTGTTACCTGAAAACCTTGAAATATAACATTGTATCTAAAACCCATAAAAATTATTATATTTACTTTTTATTTTATATAGTCCAGAATGCAGGGTATTTTATATATACTGCATATCTATATTTTACATATCTATCATATATAAAATAATAGCTCCAAAAATATTTTTCCACTCGGGAGAAAGTTTGGAATATAATACTCAAAACAAGTTTGAAAGTATTCTTAAAATACCCCCCTGAAAATCATACACCAATTCTGAAAATGGCTTTATTTAGTCTATGTCCTCTGCTCCAGAGGCGAGATATATTCCCTACTTCAAATCACTCTTTTCCAACCTTGTAAACATTTTTCCCTAAAAAAAACCCCTGTCCTTGATATGCTGACTGTCAGCACTTGCCTATCCTTTTACAACAGATACTGCGGTGTGTAACACAGTGTGTACAGTTCAATCCAGTTCAAACAGTCTCAATTGCTTCCTGTGGTAGGAAGATTTTTAAAGGACAATTTATCCTTCAACATGAAAAGACACTGACACTTTGAAAAGATATTGTTTCTAAAGGACAATCTGTGTCAACACTACTTTAGCGAAGGTGTGCTTTATCCCCACCCCCATCCTCATTTTCTTTTTTAAAATCAGCATTTCTGAAGAGACAGACTAGAATCTCCAGGCATATTTTAAGCAATACTGGCACATGTTAGCAGAATTCCTCACAAGTTTAAATTGTTCATATACATATATATGTATATATACACAAAGTAGTCTTTGAATATAAACAAAAGGCTTTGAGGGGTTCACGTTCATCAAACTTCCAGTGAAAAATGAAAATCATATACACTGGCTTATAAGAAATGTCCGAAATTGCAAAACTTAGTCATTTAGAGAGCTGTTAATTCTGTCAACCCAGAAAAAGCACATACGTATTCACAGTCTGAATTAGGCAAAGGAGATGGACCTTGCTTTCAATTTAATGGGCTATTGGCTTTCTTTTTCTTCATCATTTTTTCATTCTATTTCCACTAATATAAGCATTTTTTATGGTTAATAAGCCTAAAAAAAAATAGAAATACATTCTGAAAATTTTTCTGTCAGATAACATAGGTTCCAGGCAAATACTGATTTAATACTGCAGTTGAAGAATTAAAGCAGCAAGCCTCTTTTTCCCAACCCAGACAGGAATAGCTAAGTAGATCCTGTTGTAACAACTGCTAACACTTCTGAACCGTTAGAAATAGTTATTTTGTTTGCTACTTATGGCTTAAAGGAGTCATATTGACTCAGCGTATGCAAGAGTCATCTGTAATCATGTATTTTTACATAAACATAATCTTTAACTAACTTGTAAACTAATTTATTAAAAGAGGATCCACATATCCGCTATTTTGATCCTATTAACTTCTGTTATAAAATCTGAAGGAAATGAAGATATACTTTTGTAAGACACTTATTCTCATATAACTCTTTACACAAACTGCTTGCAAACTATTTCATAGATTTCAGCCATATGAGCTGGCAAAGTAAAATAGCAAAAACATCAGTCTAAATAAGACGACTATTTTGTCAGTGGATTTCACAGACAAAAGCACATAAACGAGGGAACTTCTGAATCCTGGAATCCATTCTAGGCTCTGGATGGGAGAATTTCAGTGGGAAGGGACTTTTTCTTTTCCCGTTTTCTCCCACTTCCCTCTGTCTTCTGGATGGTCCTCTTCAACACAAATGGCTATCCCTCTCAAGTAAGTTTCCTTGTCTGTTCAGTCTCCATAATTCAAGCTTCTTACACCCCTGCCCATCAGCTCTATTCTCTCCTTCTGTGTTCACTGCCCAACACCTAATCTTTCCACAAGCTTTTTCCTCCATGCATCCAGTCCCAGAATCACTATCCAGAGAGAAGGCATGGAACTCATCTGCTTAAACAGTGATATCCACAGATAATTTAGTCACTTCAAAGTAACCAAGAAATATGTATAGGGTGGTCAGATACGACAGAGAACCTTCTGGAGGGGCAACTGAAAGATGGGCATCTAAAATGGTACCAGACATCTACATCTACACAATTGAGTCCTGCTGTAGAGATTTCTCCTACCTCTTTCCTTCCACTTTCCATTGTTGCACTCTCAACCTGGCTGTCTTCCTTTCTTCCTGCTCTTCTGGCTCATGAAGATCCATTCTCCTTGTCTAACTGGTTCCAGGCCTTTTCTACCATATCCTTCACTATCTCATCCTGTTCTGTTCTTTCTACCCAACTAATTCAGTCATCTGCTCCTCAGATCCCAATCTTCTGTCCTCTTATTGGTCTATTTTCTGCCCTTCCTAGCAGAATTTCACTGGTGTCCTTTTTCAAAATGATTTCTCTCATTTTTTTTTAAAGAATAGGTCTTCACTCTGATTCTAGTTTTCTTGAACCCCACCAATGATCTCAGAGCACAGAAGAATAACAAACGATACCCCTTATTCCTGGGCAAGAGTTGAGTATTCTCATTTACTCTGTGAAGATGGCTCAGACTAGTCAACAGTTAAGGGGTTAGAAGTAAATAGCTGCTTTTTAATAACTGTGATATGTCAGATATGATACTCCAAAGCATTATACTAATATATGACAGGTGCTACAGAATGAGGAAATGTTTCACAGACTATTTTATCAAGAACCTGACTGTTCCTTAGTAACTCTGCCACTGTCCCCACTAACAAGAGAGTGACTTAATTTTTTTTAATTAAAACCTGACCTTGGAAAACATATGGGAAGGAGTCATCCATTTAAAATCCCATTTTAAAGACACTTCCCGAGAAAATGGTGTTTCCAGTTATAAGTGGAATTTCCTTGAAAAATTACTTGTGGAGTCATCTGGTTAATTAACCAGGATATAATGACGACAATGTATTTTTAAATGTCCACATCTATTGCCAGGTTAATTCGTGGATATTTCAGACAATGTTTGAACAGCTCTGAATTTCGCAATGAGACTAAACTCTCTTAGTATGAGCATTTCTGGCTCATACTTTCAACGTTTCCAACTGTATGTCACTGTTCCTTTTTGGGTAACAATGACCTATTATCAAATGAATCCTGTTTTCATATCACTTTGCTGGAATATGACAAAATACTTCTGCATGGAAAATTCTGGTATTTAAAACTACAATGAAATGTGTCTCAACAACATTTCTATAGAGAGAAGTGTTCTGGCTTGACTTTTATAACACAATGAAGCACCAATAGTGAAAATGCAGGTTTGTAATGCTACGATCTACCAGGGAATTGTTACACCCCTTGATCCTTTGCCTCAAATGTAAAATGGTTCTCTAACCTTGTTTTAACTATCAAATTTGGAGAGAGGCATATCAATGTCTTTGCTACTACATAGCATAACAGCAGCTTTATGTATTTATATGAAACATCTTACTCAAAAGAGAGTTTATTCTTATAATCCTTTTACTAAATCCAACCTAAATAGAAACCCGTGGACAACAAAAAAGGTAGGCTATGAGAACCTTTATATATCAAGCATGATGGAACTTTGTCAAGTTTCTGTAGGCCTTTAAAAATAATGTGAAATAATTAGATTAATATCCTAGCAGTTTTAGGACAGCCATGTCCACAAAACAGCTTTTTTTCCACAAAAAAAGCTGCCTTCATATTCTACTTTTTCTTCTTGCATTCTCTTGCACTTCCTTTCTTGTAAAAATGGAAAAGATTGGCTTCCATCACCTTACATTACAAATTTCACATAAAGAGAAGTACTATTTGAAAGAGTAGCTGTACATTAGATAGATAGATGAATAATCCTTAATAAAGAAGGGCCTTTGCATCTGACAGCTTGTCTGCTTGTTGTTTCTTTTCTCCAATGATACACAGCCAGTCTTATAAAAATGTTTATTGCCACAATCTTTGCTTCTGTTAAATTCTTAAATGAATCAGGAAAAGTTCCCTCTGCAGAAAAATTAACAAAGCTGTGGATATAAACAGTGTATATCTTAATTGAAGTGTGACAGATAGCACTTTCTATCAGCTGTAGGAAACTCAGACACAACAGAAAACAACAACAAAAGTGAAAGGAAGAAGAATAAAAGTGATACTGCATCCCAGAAGCAAAACATTCCCTAGATATCAGAAGACAGAAAACCAAACATTAAAAACCCAACAGCCTGCCTGTTTAGAATCTCCTGCTTAAGAGTAATTAATCTCAAAGAAGATTAAAGTTGCATGTTACACAGAAGTATCTTTAAATATATGTACAGCACATCAAGTTCAGAAGATTAAAAAAAACCCCCAAAACTTTAGTCCAAAATAATACTGACTCTAATACAAAAAAAAAAATCTTCTGCTACTGACAATCCCTGATCATCCAAGAGTAGTAGGAGGAAAAAAACCCCAAACCTCAAAACCCCTCGTTTTTAAATATAAAAAATCTTGCCTTGTACTGAGCAGTTATGCGCCATGCCTAGAAATTAAAATCATACCACAGTTTCATTTACCACAAGTAATTGTAACTTCAAAAGGAAGTTTACCATTCAAAGCAATGGAATGAAAACCTATCTTTCTCTAAGCAGAAAAGTAATTTGTAAAAAGCATTTGTAAGTATAAAAATTTCCTTTGTCATGCTACAATTGACAATATAAATAACTTAAAGAACTGAAAAACAAAAAGCCAAGAAAGGGAATTTTCTTAAATCGAAATTAAAGTTATTTTATTCTAATTCATAAAAGCTTACGTATGCATGTTCTCTTTCTGTCAATATGGTAGAATTGACAGTGGTTCTCACAGTCTAATACTTTTTTAGTACAGGAGTTTATTTCAGGTTTGTCAAATTGGTAGTTTGCAACAAAGTTCTGCCTTCCAAACATCTTATTCAGGCTGATTATGCAGTACACTGTAGATATAAATGGTATTACTATACCCAGTACTACAATTCAGAAGAAAGTGTTTTACAATCTTTAAAGTTACTTTAAAATGAAATGGAAAAATATATGGAGGAAGTTTTAGTATTTGCCACCAAAAATCCAGTGGCTAAATAAGGAAAAGGAGGAAGCAATTTGACTGGTATATGCAACTGGTATAGCTGGGGAAGGAAGAGAGAGAGGAAAAAAACAGGGTTTTTTCCTGGAGGCTAGAAATGCCTGCAGAGATCAGGATGCAAACACAATCATCAGAACTTGGAACGAAACCTGAAATGTGTGCTTCCCAATGCAAATTCTTTTGTCTAGCAAACTGCCATGAAACTACCACAGAGAGTGTGCTCTGGGGAATGCATGATGTAAGACTGTTTTTTAAAAAAGCAGACTGAAAAAGAAGATACTTTAGAGAGAGGGAAAAAAAAGCATGGACAGAAAGTTAGAAAATGCTAGAACTGAAGGTACATGTTCAAATGACATACAGTCCCTTTGTGAAAATGCTTTATGATCCAGAATTTATTTAAACAAACACACAGACATGGCCCTGCAGAAGTGCTGACTCCATATAGCAACTGTATGGACTTGGACCTGGAAATTAATTCAGTTTATGTGTAAGCCTATGCAATGTCTATAGGATTTCTGGCTCACTTGTTGAAGAAATTAGAAGGACTTTTGTAAATGGAGTTTTGAAAATAGATAAAGACTCATAATTAAATCAACTGAATATCATTCCATATAAATGAATTCCCATATAAATCTGAGCAAGTAATCTTCAACACATTTTTCACCAATGGCAAATAATTGCATTAATTTTCTACATGGCAACCCTGTAGGAAGCTGAAGCTACAGTTCTCAGTAGCTCTGAAAACCTTAGCTACACTTAAAAACAGAAGACTGTATTTTAAACTTAGGCTACAAGAGTACTAAGTGTTCTGAAAAATTGTATGGTAAGCTTCTCCTGAAAAATAGAATTTTTTGGGTGATTTTGATAGAAATTGCTCTGTGCATTAGATTCCTACCTATAAAACTAAAATAACAATATTATTTTTACAAGTGTGTTGTGAGGATGAATTAATTACCATCTGTGAAGCACTCAGTAAGACCATATGAAAAAAAAATACCTCACGATGAAATTAGTAACTCAAGGGAATGCAGAGCTAAGCTGCAGTGTGGTAAATAAGACCTCAACCCCTACACTGAATGATAAGGATAAAAATGGAACTCTGAATACTTTCCATTCAGTGAATAGCACTCATTTTTCTCTTGAATGGAGCAAAAATCCTGTGAAAAAAACCTGCTATACAATCATGAGAAAGCCATTTGTAATTCATTACTCTGTTCTATATTTGATTCTGATTAATGTTTTCTTTTCCTTTTCACATGATTTTTCTTTTATTCCCATTTATAGTCCAATTTCATATTTTTTTCTAAATAGAACACAGTGTCAGCAAAATTGATTATACGGAACTTTCCAACCTAACATGTTATAGCGCCTTCACAATTAAGCACAGAAAACAGCCATTCACTATGATTTCACTTCATCTAAAAAAAAAAATAGAAAAAATTGATGGGCAATTTTGATTGCAGTATTTGTCTCATGTCCCCTGTCAGCAGTCACAGTTTTGTTGGCTATAAACTTATGGGTACACTGTGGATGGAGAACGACATCGTGGTTCTTCCACCCAGTGATATAGTCCAGTCTGCAGCATTATTACAGCACAGGCCCTGTCTGCTTGATGTTCTATGAGAAAAGAGGGCAGTCCAGAGGAAAGTGTGGACCACATGACAGGCCACAAAAATACACTCAACAACTATCATCTTGGTCACTCATGCCATAAAGGTTTAAATCATACTCTAACACTTTATGATAAGCTGCTTAGAAAGTTTACCATTCATACCCTGAAAGACACCTGCCTAATATTGCACACCACTAAATTTTCAGCTAACTATAGGACATGCCATTTTTGAAGTAGGCTACATTCTTTCTGTCCTCCACCAGCCTACACTCCTGGCCTACCTCTAGAGCTATCACTGAACAGCAAACACTAGCAATGCCCAGCCCTGCTTGATATGCTCCATCATCTCTGAGAAAAATACATGCTATCTGTGTTCATGTTCTTGTCAGCACTGACAGTGAACCAGCAGAAATACATTACATTTCTGGATAGAAAGGAAAGCTATACAGAGATCCAGAGTATATCCAGAGTATCCATCCATGCAGGATGTTGTAGTCTTAATGCAAGTCGAAAGCACGGACAGATTTCCAGCATGCGTACTACACAAGCTGTAAATTATACTGACCTGGTATTTCCTGGATATGACTGCACTAACTCAGAAATCAGATCAAGAGTGGAAACTGGGCCACAAAGGGAACACATTTGGCCACTGGGATGCAGCAGCAAAGCATGCAAATTGTATTTGTCTTCAGAATTCCATACTGGGCTAAGCATCTGTGACGCCACAGAATTAAAATTAATGTGTTTTACACTGTTGTTATGCTCTTTTTTGACTAAAAATAAACTTATGCAGTCATACAAAACCCCCTCATGTTATTAAAACACATCATTCTCAAATTAATATGCATACCTCAAAACAATTATGCTCTTGTAAGTTTGACTGGATTTGCACGTGATGTTCATTGCTATTCAACATTATAACAAAGAGTAAGATATTAACTAACAAATTTAAAACAAATCTGTAAATCACATTGCATTACAAATAAGAAACATGCCACAAAGGGTATAGTAACACTCAAATGTATTTTAATTTGTAAATTCTGGAATCTTCTGCAGATAAGCCTCATGGCTACCAATTTCTCTACCTACTTTCCTCCTCTTTCCTCCTCAGGAACATTCCTGGATTCCTCCTTTCGTAGGGGGAAAAAAAAAATATATAGAAAAAATCCTGAGAAGGCAGCTGAAGACAGTCTAAGAGACCATACTGGGAAAGGTAGCCTGCCTCTTGAGGAGAATGTGCAAGAAAATCCCAGTGCCTGCAGTGCTACCTTATTCTCTAGCTTTTGTTAGGATCTTAGATTCCAAGGAAAATCCCTATCTTCCTATAGCCTACCAATATCGGAATGGTTGTAAAGTAGGGGACTAAGGAGGGGAGACAAATCTTTACCCACTGACTCCTAAAACTCCACAAAAATCCCTTGTCCAAAGAATGTAACAGTACATTAATATTTAAAAGTGGTAACCAAATAATTATTGAACTAGCACCTCTACAGAAAATTTTAATGGTGTGACACATTACTAATGCAGAGCAGCTGGGACATTCAGAAGACACCTAACTAGTCTGCTCAGCCAACAACAATTTATGAATATAAGGGATTTATTTTGTTTCTGGGATGATACTTTTAGAAGTTTTGTTTCTACTGAATCATTAGGGAGACATTTAACTATTTTTATGCAAGCTCAAGAAATCTACCTTCCACTGAGCATTTTCAAACCACATTAATGAATGATATTTAGTTAATTTTATTTGTATAGTTATGTATTTGGGGATTACTTTGGTACATTCCAAAAACTGCAATATGGCTCTCAAAGGACTATAACTTTTCTTTAGCTGCTCATATAGTTACCAGTTGCACATGAAGCCCTAGGTAAAATATGTTTTAATTAATTTTTTTTTTAAATTACAATCCCTTTGTTTATATAAATGTTAATTAAACCACTTTCAGAAATCTAATTCTGCGTATGAAAAAAGAAATAGTAGGATACTGCATGAAAGCACACTTTGATTTCTTGACAAATTAAAAAGAGAAATCACCCTAAGGAACTGAGGCTTGTATTCTGTACTCTAACAGTCAAACCTTAAACTTCTTTGCTACTTACCAAACCCTCACTGGGCATAATGCTGGTGAGATGAACTACCTCAAGATGTGCTGACTGTGACACCAGAGAATCAGATGAGAGCGAAATGATGTGGTCACAAATCCCAGACAAGGTTTTACACTACGAAGAAAAACAAGTCAATATAATTCCTCATATTAAGCTGAAACTACTAGTGAAGAAGTTCTTATTCTGAGAACTACCTGAGTATATACAGATAATTTTATTTCTTAGCATTGTAAAAACTACAGGTACATGAAAGTCAAGAACAAGAGTTTAAGGAAACAGAAGATATCCATAAATGTTAAGCAAATGTACATGCATGTACAGTTCTTCTGATCAACAGATTTTACTGCGCATTGATAACATCTCTATATCTAAACTATTTTCTCCACTCCAACTATACGCACTTTTTTTTTAAAAAAAACAACCTGATGAATTTCCTTTTATCTGTCATTATAATGTAAATATATAATATATATAAATATAACGGAAGTCAAGTGAAATATGTCAAAAATAAATGCCTTATGCACAACTTAATAACGTATTTTGGCTGCCAAATAATGAGAGCAACCCTACCAACAGAGATAATTGGGTGAATTTTGCATTATACAATTTAGAAAATCTTTCCTTTGTTAAAAATTACACTGGAACAAAAGTGCCTTAGTTAATCCATTTCCTGAAGGAAAATTCTTCTGGATCTTTGAACGCACCCTTTAATTGATATTCTAGATCACTACAACTATGCAGTAATTTTATGTTATCCTGCCTTCCAGCTGAAAATCTCAAAATCTTATCGCCAATCCACACAAAAACCTTTGAAGTAGGAACCCCATTGCATAGATGGTAACAGTGATACTGACAGATTAAACCTATCCATCAAAGTAAGTCTATGGATCAGGAAGGAGCTGATCTGTCCTTTCAGAGAACCTTCATATGTAAAGATTTATTTCCAAGTTTGAATCTATTTCTTACAGTGTTCCTTTAAAAAGGGTACACCTAAATACATTTAAACCTAATCGGAAAGCATTCATTTAGATGAATTTTAGAATGGCTTCCGGTCGAAGTTTTGCTGTGTGCATCTATTTTCTTTTGGGGACTATACTCTCATTTTCCCTAATTACAGCAAATTCTAGTGAAATCCCTTAAGGGAAGTTTTATTTCAAGCATTTGCAAAAGCATGAGGATTTCTAATATCTCATTTGATACTATGCATATAAGTTGAACAAATAAAGTTGTCACAATGAATAAATTAACTAACTGAATTTATAGTTTATATTTCCATTCACTGTACAGTTACTCATCTGGAAATCCAAGTAGACCTCTGGGGTACCGGACGTGGCATTTTTATTTTGTAACGGCTGCAAGATGCAAAGCAGCACATTCAGGTTTGCATGACTGTGTCTAAAGGTCAGCATTACCAGAAATATTTCTAGCAGTTTCAGCTTTGCGCCAGAACCCCAACAAAACTCTAAGTCCTATCTTCTCCCACCGGAGATATAGAAACTGGCTTGCTCAAAAAATGTATTTTACTGCTATTCTGTGTACGAACTGATGGTTGACTCTTATCTGTGAGTACATGCTTTCATTCAGCTTTTGAATTACTGTCATATCAAAATATTACTGTGATTTCAAACTGAGGCCCTCTTTTATGCCTTAACATTTAAGATCGTATGTACAGATTAGATGCAAACTAAATCCCAGAGACAATACTTGCTACTTTCTAATGTAATGTTTTAACTTCACAGTTGTCACATGCAAACACTTATTCAGTAAATAAACTTTGGAACAAAGTAAACAGCAAACAAGTTTTCAATCAACTTTAGTCTAATGAAACTTTAACATCTCCCCGCGATTCAGAAGGTTAACTGAAATCTATGTAGGATTTTAGCACCAGAAAAATATTCAAGAAAATTATATTAGAATAATTAAAGTTTCAGTTTGCTGTAAAAGTAGTTCAGCAGATACAAGAGAGGCCTGCATCAACTGTAAGCAATGCAAATGCTGAGATAGTATAAATGGGAGCAATTGAGCAGAATTTATGAATAATAATACAGGGTAAGGAACTAATGTATGACATGGCACTATTAATATGAGATGATACTTTAACATATGCTAAAGTATTTTGGGCATAAAAAAAAAGAAGGGACCAAAGTCTTGCGTACTAGATCCAAAATCCCAGAGAAGCAAAGTGCACTCTCTCCAGATGGTGCAATACTACCAGACATAAAAAAAATCTCATAACAAAAAGGGGTTCTTGAAGAAGTACCTGTTGCAGAGGAACTCTACATACGGTTTACAAGCTGTCCAACACCTAAACCCATTTATTACATTTCTCTCAATGGGCGATGACAAGAATAGAATCTCTAGGAAACCACTAAGTCTTGAACAAGGCATACAAACTTATACATCTCAAAGTATCTTTAGTATGGCAGCCACTGCTGGGCCTGCACAATCAATGTAAGTTAATAATCTGTATTTACTGCTGAGAGAAAGACCAACTAGCAGCGTATAATTTTTGATTATCACAGGTATAAAATATTAGTCTAAAGAACTGATGCAGTCCTGATAACCACAGTTGGCTAAACAGATATCGAAAACCAAAGAAACCTGACTCTTAGACATGTGGTTTAAGTGATCTTGAAGATCACACCTCCATAATTTACCTTTTCCCATAATACCTGAGTTGCAGAGGAGACACAGTCTAGTCATATGACTAGTGATGGAATGGCAACTATGCACCTGCAATCACATCATCTGAGCACACGCTGTCCTAGTGTGGAGCTCTTCCAAACAAATTTACACCTCAGTGAATCTCTCCAGTAACCAATCAAGAAAGTCAATCACGAATCATCATTTTATAAATGTCTTTAATTCCAAGTATATCTTTCTTATTATCTTTCAGATATTAAGAAACACACCATGTGTTGAGTTACAGATTCTATCTCTTCCGAATATAAAATTTTACTTTAGAGCATCACAATTCTTTTTCTTGAGTATTTTCTTTAATTTAATTTTATTTTTAGAAATAAAATGACCATAAAACTCCCAGCAATTTATAAAGCTTATTCTTGAATTCAGTATCCTTGAAGTAATTATTATTTTTTTAAATACTGTGAGAAAGATGGTGATTCTTCTCACTTCACCCAGAGTTATGATGATAAGCAAGTTGATTCTCAAAGCCTGGATGCTCTGGATCAGGTAGTTTCAGGTGATTTTGCCCAGGCTAAGACAAGTTCTACTGCCTTGGGATTCAGGCTTTTCAAGGTTCATTACACTTTCACTGCTGAGCCTATGGAATACTTTAAAATGGAAACTTTTCTCTCATCTTGTCTTCCTTTTCAGGCTTCCAAC